AATTTGGTGCATGGGTCCAACTTGGGTCCAAATGGCTAAAGAGTTGGGTTTGGGTTAGGCTAGCCATGACTTTTGTCGCTGCAATTCTTCACCGCCACACGTCGTGTCGCCACAACAACCTGCCGCAACGCTTTGCCTCAACGAGAAAGAAGATCCTGTTGCTTGCCTGCTACGCAGGACGGAGACGACTTTCCTCTTCGCTGCAACACTTTGCCGCGACTCTTCGCCTCAAATCTGCACCGCAAGACTTCGCCGCAAATCTGCGCTGCAACACTTTGACGCAACTCTTCGCCACAAATCTGCACCGCAACGTTCCGCTTCGCCGCAACTTTGCTCCGCAAATCTGCACCGCAACACTTCGCCGCAAATCTTCGCCGCAAATCTGCACCGCAACTCTTCACCGCAAATTTGTACCGCAACACTTTGTTGATACTCTTCGCCGGAACTCTGCACTGCAACGTTCCGCTTCGCCGCAACTTTTCTCCGCAACTCTTCGCCACAAATCTGCACCGCAACCTTTTGCCGCAACTCTTCACCGCAAATCTGTACCACAACACTTTGTTAATACTGTTCGCCGCAACTTTTCTCCACAACTCTCCGCTTCGTCGCAACTCTCCGCCTCGCCGCCGCAACTATTCCGCTTCGCCACAACACCTTGCTCCGCCGCAACTATTCTCCGCAACGTCAGATAATTTTCTTCTCCTCCTCACTTGTGATTTTTCCTCTCATCCAATGTCTCTATTTATAAGCATGATATGAAACATATCATTAAATATAATAATAATAATAGCAATAAAAGAAAAAAACTTATCATTTCATATTCCATCAGTTTTTAGCTTTTCAAATTCTGCTTTTATGGCTTAATTAAAATTAAAACAGCTGATAATTAAAATAATTTTTTAAAAAAAAAAAACTCTTCACATTTTAAAAATTTGCATTTAAATTTCAGTTTTTATTTAATTTATGCTGCTTAAGAGCTCCTTAAACTTTCCAAATTAATTAGTTAATTAATTTCGGCTGTTTTTAGCACTCCGCGTTCGCATTTCCTCTAATTCCGGCCAGGCCCGCAGCCCATTCCAATCCCACGGATCCAGGCCCGCAGACCAGCTTTCCAGTCGGATCCAGGCCCATAAGCCTGCGCTCCAATGCCACGGATCCAGGCCCCCGCCCGCGTTCCAGTCCTTCGGATCCAGGCCCGCAGGCCCGCGTTCCAGCCCTTCGGATCGAGGCCCGTAGGCCTGCATTCCAATTCCGGCCAGGACCTCGGATCCAGGCCCGCAGGCCCACGTTACTCCACAGGTAAAAAACATTTTTATTTTTATTTCTTGGTTCAAGGTAAGATTCGAACCCTCAAAAAACAAAATACACTTACCAACTGAGCTGGGCTGTTGTTTATATTTTATTGATAAATTTTATTCTTATAGCAATAAGTGTATATATCTAAATTTTTATCGTATACTACGAATAGTTTATGGATCTTAATATTTTCGGACAAAAAATAAAAATAAAAATAATAATAAATAATTTCGCTCGAAAATAAGGGGGCAATTGATACACCGCCAACAAATTTCCATTAACCAACACAAATCTCAGTGCAATTTTTTGAATAAAAGACATTCAAATTTTGATTAAGAGTCATTCGGAGCTCCGATTTCAGCAAAATTATAGTCAAACTGATCGGCTTGATGAGACGGATCTAATGATATAAAAGTTAGTCCAATCTGAGTCAAATCAGACTCAGATCAAGTCATTAAACCACTACTA